AAAACCCCAAATGGGGGCACGATTGAAAAATGACTGAACAATATCATTCTAAGAGGATAGGGACTAGATCTGTGATTTCCTTAGTATAGGGAACTCCCAGGTGAGAAAATTCCCTTCACCAGTGTGGGCTGGCACTTTGCAACTTGTCTTAGAAAGTTGCATAGAGTACTGAGAAGTTAAGAGACTAGTTCAGCATATATATGTATGTATAGCTACTATATGTCAGAGGTGACATTAGAATCCAGGACTAGTTTCAAGGCCACTTCCCTATCCATTATGCAATACTGACTCTTTTACTAATATTAGAATAAAAAGAGTTGATCCACTGGGAAAATGTCACTTTGCTTGGCAACAGAACCATTCCTCCAAATTCGCCCCTCCCCCACCACGGGCCTAACCAGGTTTGGCCCCAGCGTCAATGAAGGAACATTTCCATCAACTAGGGAGTGTGAAGATGAGGTGCTAGCTTCCCTCTACCCCCAGCCCCCTTCCAGTACCAAACAGGTACTGGAAGCATTTCCTATGCCTCTGTGAGTACAAGATTTCCTTGAAGAGGACTTTCTGTTCCTCTACAAGACTGGATTTGGTAAAAGATCTTAGGTATGAAGGTTCTGATCCATATATGTTTGGTTTAGCAGAGACTAGTCGGGTGGGAGATTCTATCTGATCATCCATAGAACATATTCCCTGGATTATGGAGAAAGGTCCTAAGGCTTGTACTGTGATCTTCCTGTCATGGGTATATTGCCTGGCCGCCGTAGGTCCAGTTTTGCAAAAACAGCAGTGGATGTATCTAGTATAAGAGGTCAGGGGTCAGGATAGTGGGTATTTGCAGCTTGTCATCTAGCCCACTACACCTAGCTGACCCCTAGATGGCCCATCAGACCATCAAGACCATGCTTCCCATCTCATCAATCCATCTGTCCAGACCATCATCTTGTTGCCATCAGTCCTGATGTCACCAGTCTATTTTCCATTTATCGGTCTGAACAGTAATCAAATCAATACTATCACTGTTTCTATCAATGGATATTAATTAGTTAAATGGACCTCAGATGCTAATCACTGGTAGGGGGATGATACGGAATGGAGGTTTGATTTGACAGCATTAGAGATATCTGTCCCACTTAGGGAAAGACAATATATATTAAAGGGATTGGTGGCCAGGGAGGAGTGGTCTGGGAAATAGAAGGTCTTTTCCAGGAATAGTATTGTGGATTGATTAATGTTCCCAGAGTTAAAGATGGAAAAGTGGGCCAGACAGAAGATCCCTAGAATTGCTTCTTTTGTTTCATGGCAGCACAGTCTGGCTCCGGTTCACTGGACTGGGAAGGAACTGGAGCTGGGTAACCATCATCTGCACGGGGACTGGGGATGCTCCAACCCTGGCTCCTCCGAGGGGCTCAGTTTGGGGCCCTCCGCACAGGCTGACCAAGGCTTTATCCATCTTCTCTGCCCTCTGACATCTGCTGTCCCCATCCCAACAGCCTTCCATCACTGAGGACACTTGACACCAAGGCTCCAGCCCTGGCCCATTCTTCACTTTCCTCCAAATGAGCCCACTTCCTGGCATGTTAGCATGAGGTTATTAAGCGCTTAGCATTCATCTCACTGGGCAGTAACACTGGGGATTAGTCATCAATGCAGTGTCATTGTTCCTCTCCTACTCCTTCCTCTTCCTGTAGGAGACATAGTGGGTCAGAGGATCCCTTGGGCAGGTTTTATTCAGTATGAATAGATTATCTCAAGGGGATTAAGCTTCTCAGGGATCAGGTTTAGTTCACAGACCTGCCACCAATAAGATGGTAACACCTCTACCTCTATGTTCTGAGATTACTGATCCTTAGAACACAGTCTGAGATTACTGATCCTTACAAAGGCAGTGTTTTGTGGGATTTTGATAAGGATAAAAAACCGATGACGTCAGTTTCCCCTGAATTCTGATGACAATATACAGAGAACATTACCATCCCTGAGTTATAATATGTGTGCTGCCTGCTTATTCTGCCCAACTGGAAATACGGGAACTCTTGTGCTCCCCCCGCCTGTCATCTTCCCCAAGCCCTGCCTGGGCAGCTGGCCCAGAAGCCAGCTGGCCTCCTGCGGCATCAGCATGCCCCCTTAGAATTCCACAGAAATGCCAGTGAAGGGGATGGTAAATGTCACATCACACATTTGTGCAGTGCTTACAACTTCACAAAACATCTGGATACCCACCATTCCCGTCTTCTGCTCCTGCCCCTCTGCTTTTGTGCTGCCTCGGTGCTTTGTTCTGGGGCGATCTGTGATTTCGCTGGTGCATGGAACCAATGAAGAAACTCCCTTTACTGATACTGGCTGGCACCTGCTCCGCAACCAACAGTTTTGGAATGACTTGATGAGGGTCACACTGCCTATATATGTCAGAAGTGGGTCTTGAACTCAGGTCCTCCTGGCTTCAAGATCAACTCTCTGTCCACTGGGCTATTACCTTTCATTTGCACTATTGGGGGAGGGGGTAATAAGAAAAGAGAGCAACCTAGCCTCCACACTGGACAAAATAAATGGAGAATGCATATTGCCCATATTATGAGAAGCAGTGGGATGGGCGGCTCATTTGATTAATCCATTAGAACTGAAGAAGGATGATGTGCTGGGCTGGGAATTCAGTAGGAGGAAGAGATGGTGGGATTGCATTCAGGAAACTGTCCACTATTTTCAAAGACCTTAGCCTACTCTTGAGAAAGCTCACGTTCTGAATGCCAGTGGGTATGCTTCCAGTGAGGCTGTATGACTGTGAATCATGGAACATTGTCATCTCATTAGAGCCACAACTGTAGGTAGATAACCCAAAGAGCAATGAAGAGATGGATGGTGGGTGGAAGCAGCACACTACCAAATGATGACCTGCACAGGAGAAATGGTGTCATGGACCTATATGATGAGAGAAGGAGGTGGCCAGGTCACAGAGAGGTAACAGAAAGCCCCATGGCTGCCTTAGGATCTACAAGATATGGAAAGAACCAGACGCAGACTTTGAGGGCACTGGGAAGATGGTTGTCAAAGTCCAGAGTCCCTCGGCTACAGGGGTTTATGGGATATGCTTTGGATAGAATTAATCTTGTATCTTCCAGTACTATATCTGACATCATATCCTTGAATAAATAAATGAAAGCAAATATGGGCCCGAGAGTTGGCCTTGGAGCCAAGAAGACCTAGGTTCAAGTCTGGCTGCTGATCTATGTTGGTCACCTCACCCTGGGCAAGCCCCTTCCCTGTGAGAGCTCTAGCAAGGTGTCAGACTCTCAGCCCTCTGAGGCAAAACTCCCCAGGGCATTGAGAAACAGATGAAAACGCAATTGGAAAATATTATCAAAATAAATAAAAATACAACACAGATCATGTTAATTTGTGGTTTTCTAGGTTAACCTGCAGCCCACAGAGGTCCAATTCTATTGGAGTTTGCCGCCTATGACCCAGGCTGAAGATTTGGTGCAGAGATGCTCTGGTAAAGAGAGTTTCTCACCAGGAACTCTCTATTCTAGCTGGTCCAGTCTCCATTCACAGTGTGAGGAGGCCTCCCATTCCAACCCCTCAGCACTTAGGGTTTAGCCCACTCTGCAGTATGTAAGGATGAAGACAGGAGGAGTGACCTAGGGCCAGAGATTTGGTTTTATTTTGTAAGATCTGAACTAAGTACAAGGAATATAAATGCAAAAAGCAAAATGGTCCTGCTCTAAGGGTGGCTCAGCAGAGAAATGGATGGAGTGCTGGGTCTGGAGTCAGGAAGCCCAAAGTTCAGATCCAGCTTCAGACACTTACTAGCTGTGTGATCCTGGGCAAGTCCCTTACCTTGTGCCTGCCTCAGTTTCTTCAACTGTAAAATAATAACAATAATAATAATAATAGCACCCAACTGTAAAAGGGGAACAGTAACAGCAGCTACCTCCCAGAGTCATTGGCATGATCAAATGGAATATTTTTAAAGCACTGAGCACAGCCCCTGGCACATAGCGGATGCTTCATAAATACTTGTTTCCTTCTCCCCCCTTCTCTTCCCTATGCCCTCCATAATCGTAGATTCTAATAGGGAAAGACAACATACACTATGGGGACTGGCAGCCAGGGAGGAGTGGTCTGGTCTGGGAAATCAAAGGTCTTTCCCAGGAATGGTACTGTTGATTGATTAGTGTTCCCAGAGTTAAAGATGGAAGTTGGGCAGAAGAGGAGCCCAGAGACATGGCAGAAGATCTCTAGAATTGTTTCTTTTGCTTTGTGGCAGCCCTGTGTCTACTGGACTGGGAAAGACTGGAGGTGAGTGATCATGGTCTGCGTGGTAACCAGGAATGCTCCAACCCTAGCTCCTCCCAGGCTGCCTGCGGCTTTATTCACCTTCTCTGCCCTCTGTCACCATCACAACAGCCTTCCATCACTGAGGAGCACCCAGGCTGTGGCCATACTTGACACCAAGGCTTGAAAAGGGAAGTTTTCCATTTTCATTTCTCTTCCTGGTAACTGAATTTTCATCACATCTGCTGTCTTCATTCAGACACACTCATGATTCTTTCTCTCCTTCCTCCAACTCCCAATGAAGATTTCTCAATTCATTTTCCATTTCAGAGTTTTCTGGAACTTTTTCAATTGGAATAGAATCCTTCCCCTGGCCACATATTGCAGGGATTCTGACTAGATATTCTAGCTTTGGCCTGGGTCATATCATTAAAATCCATTTAACAACTTCCAATCCACTTATTTCTTCCCTTGGCAGGCTGCAGGATGCTGACATCTGTGTTCGACAAGCAACTTTCTCCACAGCTGCTTCTCATACAATGTTTCAGCTACCAAAGAGCATGAAATTTCTTAGAATCTGAGCTGGAATGGGCCATGAAAGCTTTCTAACCCAGCCTTCCTCTTTGTGCAGGAGAAAGCAGAGACTCAGAGAGTGGAAGGAACTTGCCCCTGGTCATACGGGCAATGAGCAGTAGAGCTGGGACTCAAGTTCAAGCCTTCTGACACACTACTCTAAACCCCAGTTCAGGGTTTTTCCTTAGCACATAGTGTTGTGTGGCTGGAGAAATGGTGTCGCTGGAGAGCTACAGGCAATCAGTGGGGAGAAAGACAAAGAGACAGAGACAGAGAGAGGTGACTACAGAGCTGTGGGCTAGAGAACTGGAGATGGCTATTCAGAAGTAGCAGTAGCAGTGTCTGGCATGTATATACCTTTATGGTTTGCAAAGCACTTTATACATGTGATCCTCAAAATATCCCTGTGGGGTAGGTGGATAGGAAAACTAAGTCTCAGAATTTAAGTGACTTACCTAGACAGCTAATAAGCGTGTGAGATAGGATTGAAATGCAGGTCTACCTGATTCCATGTCCAACACTGAACTCTCTGCCATGCTGTCTCTTTAGAGGATATAGGCTTTAACATGGGTCTTGAAGGAGGACACTTCATAATTTAATACATTCTGGTTGAAAAGATCCCACTGTCTCTATTCTGCATTTCTTCTGCTACTGCTCCCAGAAGCCTGAGACTTAGGAGGGTCTCCCCTCCAGGGTCCATGACTGCAAGATGGGCTTGACACATAAGGACCCTCTCAGGATTTCACAGCTCAGGATCTTCAGAAGGTGGTACCTTCTGAATGAGCAGAATGAGAATCCTCTCTATAACAGACCAAGTAAATAGTCTAGATTTTGCTTGAAGACCTCTAATGAAAGGGTACCAATTACCTCCTGTGACAATCTGTTAAACTATTGGGTAGCTCTTATTATTAGGAGGTTTTTCCCTCTTTCAAGTCTAAATTTATTTCTTTATAACTCCTACCTCCTGTCCCTGGCTGTACCCCCTAGGGCCAGGAAGAACAAATCTGAATCTCTTTCCTCCTGAAAGCCAAATACCTAAGGAGAGTGATCATGTCCCCCAAACTCCTCCCCGCCAAGTCTTTGGTTCTTTAGGTGCTTGGCACATACTAAGTGCTTATAAATGTTTTTTTTTTCATTTATTCATTCAATCATTTATTCATTCATTCTCCAGGCTTCTCATGGGTAACCTGTGCCAAACATACATTTACCATGAGGACTACTTTACAGAGAACTCACACAAGGCAAGTGCTCACACAGAAGTCAGAAGGAACAATACAAGGTTACCCTTAAAGTTTCTCTGATGAACTTAGTATCAATTGTGAGACATGGGAGAGGCTGGCACAAGGAACACCTAGCATGGCATGCCCACATCAAAGGCGCCACACCTTTGATGAGCGAGCAAAGGGGAATCACAGTACTTCAAAAGAAACGTGAGATGCATAAATGTAGAGACATCTCTACTCCAAATGTTCAAACAGACCTGTGCCTGACCTGTGGTAGAGCTTTCCAAGCTCATATTGGTCTCATCAGCCATAGCTGAACACACTGTTCACTGACCCCAACACCATGATAGCATTTTGGTCCTCTTTGAGCATGAAGGACAAACAACAACATGAACAACTGCTGCTAGTCTAATCTTCTAATGTTCCAAAGACAGTGAACAAATAAAAAATTGGCACTGGCCTTTGAAATGTCACTAACTACTGATAAAGGTTTAACCACTTATATAACATAACCTTTGAAAGAAATCTTATAGAATATATTAGCTAGTTGTTCAACCGATAATACCACAAACAGATAATATCCCATTATTCATTATCCATGAAAAAAGATACTTTTCATTCTGTTTTTGATCATTGGAGGTATGTGTGGGGGTAAGGACTAATTTTCTTAATTAGTAGAAAACACTTTCATACTCCCATGAAGTTCCTTCTTAAAAAAAAAATTAAGTTTTTTCCCCCAATCATCAAGCATTTTTTTCTCCTTCCCACCTCCTTTCCCCCTCTTAAGAAAAAGGAAAGAAAGCAAAAAAGAAAGAAGAAAGGAAAAAGAAAAAATATGGTAACAAATATGTTCAATGAAGCAAAAAAAATTCCCATAATGGCCATGGCCAACATTATCGCCTCTCTGTCAAGAAGTTCATCAACTCTATGGGAGATGGCCAAATTGTAGGAGTAGGATTGAGGGGTAACAGATTTATGGCCTAGATTAATGTCCCGGTATCCTTAAAAAACAAAACAAAAAATTCCAAGAGGATTATCTCCAGTGTGTTAGGTGGATCCTCTATGGAGGACATTGACAAGAACTTGAGGAGATCATCACTCCACAGAAGTATCTAAGGGGATGTCTTCGGGGAGAGGTTCTCCACCTCCCAGATATGAACTTCATGCCCAGACATGCCCCTTGTTGTTTGTCCACTCTCTTGTGCCATCTACAATAGCTCTAAACATCATGGAGTCAAAGACAAATAAGAAGGAGAACTTTGTCACTTACGTCATGGTGCCAGCATGACTAGCAACCATTTTCTCCTCGTCTTTTCTATAATGCGTTTCTTTGGGTTTTCCATCAAGGTGCTTTCATGTGGAATCTCATTAATGGTGAAACACCTCCTCCATGGTCCTAAGGAAAAGCACCAAAGGGCCTGCTTTATTGACATGGTTAACATGTTCTCTCTGAATCACAACATCCATTCAGACTTCCAGTGTAGTGTAGCGCCCAGCTGGCCATGTCAGTGTTGCTACCATTGTCTGACTCCCATCACCAATGGCATGAAACAGGACTATGAGAGGAAGACTTTCACCTCCTGCCCCAACCTCCCCCTCCCCGACTAAATGTAGTTGATTAGCAGTACCTAAGTCGGCAGTAAGGGATTTCAAAGCAGGTATCATACAATGTTCTCATTCTTGTAAAACTGTCAGTAGAAGAGGCTCCTACACCAAGTCCTTGAAAGCTATTCCTTGCCACACAGACAGGGAAGCTTGCATAAGGTCTACTTTGGTGCTCCCATCAAGATACCACTGGCTTTCGTAAAACATCAACATGGAGACTTATATAAACATTGAAGAAATGTCTCCCTTATGTTGACTTTTCCTAATAATGAAAGGTCTCTCAAGGGGAATTTTTAAGGGCAAAGGAAACCTGTAGAAATCAAAATGTGAAGTTCAAGGGTCAAATCTAAAAGGCCAGTTGCATGAAAAGCAATTTCAACACAGATAGCAAGTCCTTAATTGAACTGGGTGGAAGTTTGTGACTTCTGACATATCAGTTCTACACATTTAGTAGGAAATGTTACAACTCACAAGTGATCTGAAAAGATTGTGGAATTGTAGGTTAAGAGGTAGAAGGAAACTTCGAGGGGATCTAATCCAGCCCCTTCATTTTATAGTGAGAAAACTGGCTCCAAGATCGGTCAAGTGACCCGTCCAACACCATACAGTGGCAGAAGTATTACTTGAAGCCAAATCTTTTGACTCCAAAGCCAATGCCCTTTCTAGTTTTTTTGCTGTTGTTGTTTTTAGTGCTAATGTTCTCTATTCACCACAATTCCTTTTACTCCCTGATTTACTGATGAAGATTTACCCTAGTAAAAATTATTTGATTTTTAAAGATTCTTCATTTTATTTTTCAGTTAACAAACATTTGTTTTCTCTCTTTCCCAGGCTACCTTCCTAATTGGGGAAAAGGAAAAGGAAAAAACACATCTATGTGTTCTATATATGCCCAGGCTCCTGAACAGCAGTGGAGGCAAGATCATAAAAGCTTTGGATCTTAGAAACTTGAGATGGAAGCTCGTAATATCTCTGGTTCTAGAAAACTGTCTTTCTGAGGTGCCCATCAAAATGCTAGGATTTCCTCTGTAAAAATCCACTGGTTACCTTCTCATCTCTTACATATGCCCAGTACTACCACCTCTGATGACTCACCCTCAGCCCTCAACTCTTCATCTGAGGAAAGTGGAAATCAATGTAGTGGTCCAAGTTAGACAGGCAGAGGCAGGCTAGATCAGACCCCAGCTTCCTCATTCCTGGGTATGCTCTGTGTGAATGCATGAGCCAGGAATTCAGACCAGTGGAGATACCCACACGTAGCCATGATGACACAAAAGAATTAAACAGCCAGAGCCAAACATTGTGAATAACACAGCGGTACTATATTGTAGGGAGGGAAAGGAACTCTGGCTCTGGTGTCAGAGGACCTAGGTTCAAATCCCACCTTGGCTGCTGACTATTTTTTTTAGTAATTTATTGGCTTCAATCATTTCTGAGTCTTGGCTTTCTGATCTGTAAAAACGAGGATGTTGGACTTGCTGCTTGGTATAGCCTCTTCTGGAGTCAGAGGACCTGAGTTCAAAACTTATCTCTGATATTAACTATTTGTGTGACCTTAAGCAAATGACTTAACCCCTCTGGGGCTTAGTGGTCCCTTCTGTAAAATAAAGGGAGAGGGGAGACTACAGGACCTGAGGTCCCATAAGATCTATCACTCTACGACTTCTCATCTGTAATCACTGCCCTCACCCTCTCCCCTGACTCTTACCATAGTTAATGACTCATTAAATGCCCGTTCTTAGCACCAGTTAATCAATAAGCAGTTATTAAGTATCTACTATATGCCAGACCCAGTGCTGAGTACTAGGAAGACAAAGATAAAAGTGAGACAAACAGTTCTATGCTTAAGCAGCTTCCATTCTAAAAAGAGAGACAATGTGAACACATATTGATGCTTACAGAATATGTGTCAAAGTGAGGCAGGATCGTTTGGGGAGGGCATGCCCTAGCAAGAGGGGGAAGGTAGGGGATCGGGAAGCTGATGAGGAAACAGAGGCTGAGAAAAGTTAAGTGCCTTGACCAGGGTAATAAATGTAGTGGTCTAAGTTAGACAGGCAGAGGCAGGCTAGATCAGACCGGCACTCTAACCATTCCATCACCTACACCTGACTTCTGGAAGTTGAGAGATCATCATTCTAGACCTAGGCGGTAGTCCGTGCAAAGGCATGTTGGTGACGTGTGTGTGTGTGTGTGTGTGTGTGTGTGTGTGTGTGTGTGAGACAAGCTATCACGCCAACAAATAGTTCAGTATGGCCAGTTTGTAGTGTGCATAGAGGATAGGGAAAAAAAATTTATAGATATAGATATATAGATATAGATATAGATATAGATATAGATATAGATATAGATATAGATATAGATTATAGATATAGATATAGATATAGATATAAAAAGACTGGCAGGGTGGGAAGAGGCCAGGTTGTGAAGAACCTTAAATGATGAACAGAGGCAACAGGGAGCCACTGGAATTTATGGAGTAGGGGAGTTTCAAGGTCACACCAGCACTTTAAGAAATCCCTGTGGCAGCCTGAGGGGAGGCCTGAGGCAGGGAGTCTAAACAGGAGGTGGTTCTGTGAGTGGAGAGAAGGGGAAGTTAAGTGGTATTTGTCACAGAAATAGAAGTGATCAAAATTTGGCAAGTGATTGGCTCTGTAGCATGAGGGAGCATGAGGAGGTGAGGAGGTGCCTGGAAGAATGGTGGTGCCCTGGACAGGAAACCTGGGGTACAGCAGAAAATGGCACAGGAAAACGTAGATTTGAATCCTGTGACTTTGGATGGGCCTCAGTTTCCTCATCTGTAGCCAGCTCTAAAGGCTATGATCGTGGGGACACACTAGTTTCAACAGCAACAAACCCCCTTCAGTCCTCTTCTTCCTCTCTAGGTGCAGGCATCAGTGACTCACTCAGGTTGTCCCCCACAGCAGCAGAAGCATTTGAGGATCCCCTCGCTCACTGGGCTGGGCTCCATGGGCCCTTCTTTCTGTCTCCCTTTTTTAGATCTAGAACCAGAAGGGACTTTAGGGGTACTAAGTCCAACTTCCTCATTTTACAGATAGGGAAACTGAGGCACAGAGGGGTTAAGTGACTTGCCTAACAGAGGATAGGATTTGGACCCAGTGACTGGAGAGGGTTGAAGAGAGCCTTTCCACTGCCTCTTGCCATCCACACTAGCTTTGGTCTGGTTTGGTCACTGACATCTCTTCTGATCTCTCACTTTCTATGCCTCGCCCTTTGAGAGAACGTATTTTCCAAGTGTATTTTTCAAACCTCCTGCCTTGAAGGCTCTCAGCATGCCTTCTGGGAGAGGTTCTCCACCTCCCAGATACGACTGACCTTCACACCCAGACGTGCCCCTTTCCTATAAAAAGGTTTATTTCAGCATGGCAAGTCCAATTTCCTCAACTCAGTCAATGACTCCAAAAGCTAAAAGACAAACACCTTCCACCGCCTCCCCTTGCCCGAAGGTTCTGAAGTGTCTAGATGTGTATGTTTTGCTGAATAAAGCATACTGCATTATTGCTCTCCCAACATCTCTCATTAATTCAGCAAACATTTGAGGCCAATAAAATAGCTGTAAAACTAGCAGGGAAGAAAAGACACTGCAGCCGGCTGGAAGTCGCTACACTCAGAGTGCTCTTTGTGTGACTTAACATGGGATGATGGGCCCGCAAGTCAAGCCCTTAGCAGATAGACATTAATGGGATATTCACTCTTCTCAATGCCAGTTTCTTAAGCCCAAAGAGAATTTCCTTCTCAGAGAGGGCATTTCAGACTCTAGGCTAAGAACAGTTAAGATCTAAGCAAGCATCTAGAAGGTGCAGCGGATAGAGGTCTGGGACTTCAGTCACTCAGACCCGACTTCAAACCCAACCTCAGACATTTACCAGCTTTGTGACGTTGGGCAAGGCACTTAACTACTGTTTGCCTCAGTTTCCTCAACTGTAAAATGGGAATAATAATAGCACCCACCTCCCAGGATTGTTGTGAGGATGACAGGAGATAATATCTGTAAAGTACTTGGCACAGTGGCTGCCTGGCTCGTAGTAGGTGTTATTGTTATCTCTGTTTGGATTAGATCATAAAATCTGTGACAGTAAGGACCATTTTGTCTCTCTATTAGGATCACAGGTTCATAGATTTAGAACTAAAAGGAAAGGCAGGGGTCATCTGTTAGAAATAGGCTTCACACCAAAAATTTAGTATCAAGAAAGTCCAGAGGATTTAGACATTTCTGGCCAGAAGCGGGCTCCACCCCTCTTCAGGAGAGGTGGGCCCTGAGTGCAAAGGCAAGTGTGCTTTTATGCAGTTGAATGCAGCGCAAAACCTCCCAGGCCAGGACTGGTCCATCCCTTCCCAGGTTACACCTTTCCTTACATGTTTCCCCTTGATATGCTCAAGTATGTTCCCCCTCCCTTGGTCATACGTCCCATGACTTGTTAATGAGGCTCTAATTTTATGTGGGGTGTGTCAGATAATAGTAATGAAGCTCATTAAGCAGGTGCACTAACATTTTTCAGGTGTCCTCAGGTTGACCCTAACTGGTCTGAGCTGGCTTGACCCTTATCTTGATTTTGGGGTCTTTATGGAACTATCAGCTTACTTTTTATTGGCTAAGCCCGAGCCCACCTACAATGTACTACTTCCTGGAGCTGTTAAAATCTGTGCATTATTCTACCTGTGGAAACTTAAGCCCTTCCAACTCTAACAATTCCCTCCTCATTATGTTTCCACACTTTTTGTTCCTGTTGTCTTTCCTCAAAGTGATTTAACATTAGTTCAAATTCTTCATCAGAAGGAGAGGAATGATCATTAATTCTCTCAATCATCATCCTAACTCCACCTGATCCTGTCACCTGAATTCCCATAGCTGGTCCTATTGGGATACTTTTAGTTAGTGCCATTTCTATTAATTTTTGCACTGGTCCTGTGACACAAGGGTTGGTGCAACACCTTACTGCAGTTAAAACTCCTGCAGCCAAGGTTAGAGAGGTGATGATGGATGCTGCTATTCCCTTCCATTTGCCAGACCAGGATTCTAACCATCACTTTAATCAATTATCTATCCCAGAATTCTCTGCCAACTCCTCAGCTAAAGTGGTTAAACCTTGCAATGCCTTAGTGATGGTTCTACCTGGGACTGTGCTGCTGGGCAATATTTCATCAAGGGATTTTGGGGACTTAAAACAATATGAGAGAAGGAAGGGAAGAGTTGACTGACGCATTGACAAATTAAAAA